TTAACCATTTTTGATAATAAAAATGTTTTCACAGATGGAGATTTTATTAAACAAAATCTCATTGTAATGTATTAATTTCAGTGATCTTTGTGAAATAACATTTTTGAATTTTAAACATTTTCAATCTCTTTGCAATATTATTTTCAGCATTTAAGTAATTTGATCCATTTTAGTTAGATAAAAAGTAAAAGATAAAATAAAGCACTTTTTTAAAATAAAATTGCGGCTATAAAATTTAACTGCTTGAAAATATAACGTCCCATGATTCCTTTGGTATCTATTTCCATTAAAATCTTTTTTCCTTCAATCACATTAACATTCATAACTCTAATATGATATAGAAAGATTTACAAAAATGTGAAAGTAAATAATATAAAATTTACAGCTTCACACCCGCAGTTAGTTTTCAATATTAAAATTAGCAAGCAACCCTCCTAAATAAATAAAGGGAGTCAGTGGTCCGTTCTACAGAACTTCGTCATATATATCAGTATATCACTTTTAGATAGAGAATATAAAAAAACTTTTTTTTATGTGTATTCAAATTTTGCTTTGTTATGCAAATGAATTTAAACGACCTTTTCCCTTCTGCTTATGGTGCATAGCTGCAACATTTGTATATCCTTAAATGTCCTTAAACGAGTACGTGCGCGCCGCATATTTATTTTGATGACCAAAAATTTATACTGGTTGCACTTCATCAAGTATCCATAAACATAACTCAAATGCTTGTTAAGTGTATAAAAATTATTTTGCATAATTTCTTTTCTTTATTTTTAAAAAATCCTCGCCTCGTATGCGCATTTAGAAAAAAGATAAAGTCAAACTTTTGTGATACAAAACTCGGCTAATTAAAATGCAGTGACATTCAGCAAAAATGGTAGATGAAGCACTTAGAGGCGACAATAATTAATGTGACATTTATAAATTATGTTTAAGTTTTTTGTTAGTTTTTGCTTTATCCTAATATCCTTGTACGTAGGAAGTACAGGCAATAAACCAATGGTTTCATGCCCAGTTAGGGCAACGGTAAACAACAATCAAGGCATTTAATTGAAAAATGGGTGGAAATCAGTTGAACTACACGAAATTATGTTAATGCAGACATAAAATTAAATTGCATTCCATCTTTAAAATCTATGTTTTAGCCCTTAACTAGACATACAAGCATTTGGCAAGTAACAATACTTTATGTAACGCCCAGTTGATGTCCTTTCGGGTAACTGAAATAATGTAGTAAAGAAATAATGTAACGCATTTCAATTAATATTGAAAATTCATTACTGAAAGCCAAGATTATCAAGGATTACAACACCGACATATAAATATGGAACAATGTAAGTTTGTAATTGTTTCCTGTCGTTTCTGTTAAGTAGTTTCCCTGTTAATCATAAAAAAGTAGCGGAAATCCTATAAAAATTGCGTTTTTTACCCTAATAATTTTTAGATACTTTTTTTTATCAATATTATCTAGAAAGTGCAGTGCAGCGTGAATTTTTACTGACAGTACTTTTACCCTGGCATTGATTTTAATTGCCAGAGCAACATTTAAGCTTACTTTTTATTTCACTTAATATCTTTTGGAAGTATTTGCCAACAATGAAATCGTTTTCATATTATTTTTCCGCATTTGCCGCTAACGTTTTCTCTCTTTATCCTCGCTTGCTTTGTTTTGCGCGGAAATCACGCAAGCGTTATTTGCCACGTTTTAAGTCTTCGAGTCCTTTTCAGAAGTCCTTTTGACATAAACGTTAATTGTTAACATTGTTTGCTTTTTGGACATCTGTCCTTTCAAAATATTTAAACTAAAAAAGTGAGTGCAGGACTATCGTTAAGTGTCAAAAAACGTTTTTAAATATGTGTGAATGAGTCAAGAGCCGCTCACGCGTTCTTATTTATTTAACGCACCTGTCGTACTTTTTTTCATTACAGAACAAGATATCACTAACTATAAGTAATTAATAATTAATTATAAAAAATATAGTAGACAGTTTAGAGAGTTTGATTTAATTTTTGAATTTATCTTGATTCTTCTTGATTCTTCTTCTTCTTGAGTTAGTGCTATTACGCACTTTTACTCTATAATAGCTGGGGGGCTTATCTCTACCCCACACTAGGCTTTAACTAGGCTAAAAAAAAACATATAATTTATTTGTCTTTTAGTTGATGAAGGACCTTAAATCAACATATCTTCCTGAGAGTCCAGAAGTGGACTTGAGAATTGTTAGGGCGGGGTTAAGTAACGTATCACACATTAACAAATATAGAAATCTACTTTATTCTTCGGATGTTGCTTGAAAATAATAAAATATATTTGAAACAAAAATAAAATGTATTAATAATATTAAATATTCTAATAAATGTTTTATGTCCTCTAACTACTTCCTTATCTTATGTCTTATGTTAAGCCTTTTCCGAGTTAGTGCATCTGGGCACTTTTACTCTATGATAGCTGGGGGGATTCTGCAGAGTCCCACCTATCTCACTGACTAATTTCAATATTCCTAATAATAATATTTCTAATAATTCCTATTTCTCATAAAAAAGTGGTCTATCAACGCAAATCAAATGCAACGTTGAATCAAATTTATTAAAACTGAAAATAATTTTGCTTCCGGCAAAATTAGAAATCTAATTTCTAATTAGTTATGTATAATCTAATAATCATTAAATTTTCTCAGTCCTCATTATTAAACCTATCGATTTTTCCTTTCTGTAATTAGTGAATTTCGTGAGGTTTAGGTCGTTGCCTATATGTGAATCAATGACTTAAATCGTTTTACAATTCATTCCTAAAATCTGGTTTCAAAGAATTTAAGTCTCAAATAAAGCATTTTCTTGATTTCCAACTATCAAAAAGAAAAAGGAAATACAAAACAAAGTATAAATTGAAACACAGTTAGCGGCGTTCATTTAAATCACATATTCCAATTCCAAAGAAATTATTGTATATTTTGGGTGTTCTTTCTTTTCTTTTATTTAAAAGAAAATATGAAATTACTTTAAGTTATTCTATTTTTAAGATGCTGATCAATATTACATTATGTACTGCAGTAGATGTTTTTAATGTCAAAATATTTACGGCACTTATTTAACACAAAGAAAGAAAGAAATATCTAAGTATAGGATAATACTTAAAGGAGATTAAGGAGTTGTTTTTACTTGAATTTTTTCTAGGATTAATCTACGTTTCAAACTCACGATAAATATGCTTATGCTATAGGTCATAGTATGTGGCACCCAATAATTACTTCAGATCATCAATGTAAAGGTGGTACACAAAACGAAAATAAAAAATTTACATTATTTTTACTTACCTTTTCAAGCAATGCCTAATCCATGATGAATCATACAAGAAATTGCCAATAACATTTATAAAGCACAACCAATTTTTGTATTATAGTACCAGAAAGATATTTGGGGGAGGTGAAATAATTATTCTGTTGTGCTGCTGTCAAATATAAATTGGATTAATTCAGAAGTTCATTAACAATAATTAGATGAAGGACCAAAACTTTTGAATCATTTCGAACTTTGAAATCATTTCGAACTCATTGAACGTAACAAATTAGAATTAATTATTCATGTTAAAGATTATATTTTTCAAAAGCAAAATCAGCTATATAAAATAAACTTAACATACACGGGACCAAATATGGGCAGTTAAAATCTATTAAATTTGTCAATGACAGGAAAGATACTTTCTGTAAATTTACAAACATTATTTTTATGCCCTTCTTATTAGAATAAAATAATATATATTAGGGGTGTAATGCAATAAAGTAAATATCTGTGCTCGTGTAAACACAGTATATTTTTTAGCAAAACGTATCCAATATCTGATGTTCATCTTTCTGTCTATATTGATTTTGGTAAACCAATCACTCTGTTTTCAATTAATCGAATGAAACTTGCCAGTGGGATTTGACTTTATAATTGAAAAATTAATTTAGTGCTTATACAAAATAACATTATAATAAAATTGTTGTTTTAAATACACCATAACATACTATACAATTTAAATATACGACTAAAGAAATAATTTAAAATAAATTGAATTGTAATACAAACATCCACGTGCATGGCATTTATAATTAAAATTTACCTAAGTAATCTTATGATTATCTATTAAGCAGTACAACATTCTCACTATATGCGTGCTTTCTGTTATCCAAGGATCAGAATGTCGGTTTTTAAAAGTGTAGAAGCTATCGAAATAAGTAGAGTTATTAAATTATATTATAATTCAAATACCTGTGCGACATAAAAACTAATTACTTTTTTATAATAGATGTCAACTATTATAACTAATTAATTTATTTTATAACATCTCTTATTTAGCACATCAATCTCACCATATCCACAGCTCCGATATCCGGGGTTTCTCTAGTCTCTGCCTTAGAGGTGTCAGCTTTTAGAAGAGTAAAATATATGTATAATGTCCCTTATACTGATAGACAACATAATATATGAATAATGTCCCTTATACTGATAGACAAATAACATAATAATAAATATAGCGCAAACAATCCGTAATGTCTTAAAGACAAGATAGAAAGAAAATGACAGTGGAGCTTCTGCCACTGTCTTTGTTGTTTTTGGCAACATATATTTATACATATATATATATATAATTTTTTACATAAGTAGGTATTATATTATTTACAATTTTTAAATAATTTATTATGTGCTTTATTAATATTTGTGCCATGTCAATATCGTAAAAAATTTTGAATATATATATGTGGGACGCAGATCTGGCAACGCCAGCACACGAGCATAAGGAAGTAAAAAAGAAGAAACAAACGTAGTGTGGCAGTGCAGAAAGAAGACGTGTGAAGTAATGACGTGTGTGCGGAAGAACAAACAGTTTTTTTCATTTATATATATTTTTTTTGTAATTTAATTAATTAGTTTTGATTCTAATAAAAAGGAATCCTACAAATTGGGGGCTCAACCGGGATTTGAATTTCCGGCAATTGTGAAATTCAGTCTACACAATGACTTGCTTAAATGACTTCGTAAGCAGCAGCCTGCGCAGTAGCAGCAAAAACATAATAATAGCGTTGCATAAATTTATATACCAAGAAGAAGGTGATAGAAATAATCGAAAGAGATTGAGAGAATTTTCTGGATTCGATTACGACGAAAATGACAAGGCGTATGCAAGCAAATGCGAATATATTAAAAATAATTTGACTGAACGTGATTTGGTTTCAATTTGTATTGTACTAAATATAAGTTATTGTGTTAAAGATGTACAACTGCACATATTTCGAAATCTACGTAAAAATTTTTTGTTGTCCGAAAACGCAAACGACGATGAATGTAATGACGAAGAAGGAGATGAAGAAGTCGATGATGATGATGACGAAGGAGGAGATGAAGAAGTCGATGATGACGTTGACAGTAAACGCACTTTCAGAGGCAATGAACGCGAGTTTAAAAAATCTCGTGACGATAATGGCAATAAAATGTTTGAAGTGGATGATAATAATAAAGCAGCAGCGTACACACGTACAAAATTTTTACAAAGAGAAGCACCAAAATTTGCAATGAACTTTCGCGATATAGAGGACTCAATTAGACCATTTGATGGCACAAATATCATTTCGGTAGAAAGGTGGATTGAAGAATTCGAGGAACAAGCTGCACTGATGTGTTGGGATGGGTTTCAAAAACTAGTGTTTGCAAAAAAATCTCTTAGAGGCATTGCTAAACTTTTTATTTTGAGTGAAAGAGGTTTAAATTCGTGGTGTGCTTTAAAACACGCCCTGTTAAATGAGTTTCGAACAACAACAAATAGCGCACAATTGCATAAGCAACTTAGTGCTCGCAAAATAAAAAAAGATGAAAATGTGTTTGAATATTTTTATCAAATGAAAGATATCGCATCTCGCGGCAATATCGAAGACGAAGCGCTGATTCAGTATATAATAGATGGAATTAGAGACGGTTATGTAAATAAAATGATACTATATGGTGCAAAGAACCTTAATGAATTTAAAGACAAATTAAGATCATATGAAACAATGTGTGAAAAAAGTAAGCAAGTTAACGATTTTAAACAAAGCGAAAAGAAAAGTTTCTCAACAAATAAAACAGAAGTGAAATGCTACAATTGTGGTGAAAAGGGACATTTGTCCATGAATTGCAAAAATAAAAATCGAGGTACTAAATGCTTTAAGTGCAACCAGTACGGACATATTTCTAAAAACTGTGAACGAGCCGAAAACAAAATAAATACGCGCAGTTTACAGCAAAAAAACAATTTAACTACCAAATCCATTTTTATTGGCAATTTACAGTGCGCAGCCCTATTCGATACAGGCAGTAAATTTAATATAATTCGCGAAGACTTATACAACAAGTTGAATAAGCCTATCTTAGAAAAATGTAACGTATGTTTAATTGGTTTCGGTAGTGATCGCAATTCAAATAGGATTAAACCAATTGGACATTTTAAAAACTTAATTAAAATTGACGATAATGAGTTCATATTAGATTTTTATGTCGTTCCAATTCGGTGCATGGACTTACAAGTGATCATTGGCGAAGAACTATGCTTATACGCTGAAATTTTATTTAATCGTGATGGTATAAACGTTCGTAAAATCCTCGACGAAGACGATCCCATAGACGAAGAAGCTAAAATAATGAAAATTGACTTAGTAAATGACAACAAAACGATTGATATCGACAAAACCGCTAGTGAGAATGCGAGACAACAGGTACGTGAAATGATCATAAATTATCAGCCGAATCAATGTAAAACAACACAAGTGGCGATGTACATAGTGCTCAAAGACGAAACACCCATTTATTCTAGGCCGCGTAGATTACCGTTCACGGAGAGGTGCATTGTGGATGAGCAAGTGGAACAGTGGTTGAAAAATGGTGTAATTGAACGATCGGAGTCAGAATTCAGTAGCCCAGTTGTATTGATAAAAAAACGCGACGGTACACCACGCTTGTGTATTGACTTTAGAAGAATTAATAAAGTATTGGTGAAAGACCGTTTT